TCCTTCCACAATTACATTTGGCGGCTCCCATCTTATCTTCAATTGCGTCAGCTTTGGTATGGTTCTCCTTGAGTTGTTTGTCTGTATAAAATCATTTCCCAAAAACTGCAACCAACATTGGAACTCTAGCATGATGAGGATTCCCACTTCTAAAGACAACACTGTCTCTATCATTCCAAAAACTGCCAACCCCACTGAGTTCAGATAGTTCACAAGCAAGCCTACATTATTTCGATTACTCACAGGTGATATGTCAGAGGACCAACAATCTTCAATGCTCAAATGTACAAACAAGGTGAGCTAACAAATATAAGCAGGAGGGACACAAAAGTTTCTCCATTACTGTTTTAGATGCCGAACTAAAAACGGTATATGTATCCTCATTCCTCCACGAAAACTCAGCTCAGTTTGGTAAATTGCCGAAATATCTCGATGATACAGTACTTCGAAATTGGTTTTATACAACTGTTATTAAAGCAAGAGTGCAAAATAATCAAAAAGGAACTTGCTTGATGGAAACAGTGTCAAGCCACTACATCTAATCCACATTTTTTCAATCTGATATGGTAGGACCTCCATCGATGTTAACTTCTCCCATTCCGGTGTCTTCTTCCTCTTCACTACCCTCATCACCGCTAACCTCCTCATTCTCCTGGCGAAGCTTACTCATGTGCTCAGCAAGTAGTTTATCATCCCGTTCACTTACCTACACCAGTACACCATATTAGACCCAGAAATAAAGAAGTTTCCATGACAAGTCAATCGAGATTATTATGGATTCGAAATAAAATGGTAGACTGTTCGGACAAAAAGCAAGTTCTGGAGGTTCTGAACAAAAATATTTCAAGAAGTCAAATTCGACTGGATATATAAAACAGACGGCAGAACAATGATTAATTGTAAAATAGATAAAACATGAAGAATAGGGTTGACCACTCACCACTCTGGGTGCTTCCTTCACTGTTAGTTTCCCCTTGTGATGTTCAATTTCTTGTGTGCACGCTACAATTGCATTGCTTAGAACGGATATGCCTTGCTCCTGCCCAACCCAGAACAGAATTTATAAAACTTATTAGCAAAGTAGCTAGTGACGTCTCTACCATCATATTTCACAACTGTCTGCAGGAAGGTCAACAGAAACCATGTGCTACATTTCCAGCTTCCAAAAGTATATAGTATCGTCAGAAGAGAAGTTGTAACTAATGCCGTATCGATGCAGGATGTGAATAAATTGATAATATAAATCCAGCAATATTTAAGAACCAAAACGCTACGAGGAAACAAAAATAAGTGCTAGAATGGCAAGATCAAATTATACCATTGCCAAATTTAAGGTTCAAACTGAAGCTACACACTATTATGCATGGGTTGGCCACAAGAAAGATTAAACGGTGGATATATGACACAAATGCAGAAAACGAAAAATATGTAGGAAAAGGCTGTGATCCATTAACAGCCATCAGATGATATCTTAACCGACTCATATTCAAAGGTTCAACGTACAGAATTTGAAGATCTACTTTTTCACAAAAACAGTGTTTCAGGCTCAGAACTCTAATGTTCCTTTTTTGTCAGAAAGGGTAACGAACATTTAAACCCTGAATCAAAACACTAGCTTATTCCCAACAGCATGACATACAATGTAGTCTATATAGACAAAGCAGACATTATCGGCATGCCACTATACAGCTTCGAGTGGTAATCTCGATTTCCGCATGGTAATTGTGCAATTGTAAAAAAAAATGATCAAATGAAGACCAAATCAGAGTTTGAGCAGACCTTATCAAGAGTCTGTGTGGTAAGAACATAAAGTGGAGGAGCAACCAGTTTAATTTTCACAGGACAGTCATTATTGCCCGCAGCTTCCGCTTTCCTCATGGCATCCTGCAGATTACAATGTCTAAAATCAAAATCCTGCCAAAAATAGAAAACACCATGAAAGAAAAATAAGCAGAGGCCACAGAGAACCTTAATGTGAAGAACACCATCAAATTGGAAGCATTTCATTTCAATATCAGCTCGGATCTTCAATGGTTGTGGAGTCATTCTTCTCCTAATATTCTTCACCAGAGATTCTTTAATTTCCTCTGACACAGCAGGAACCACCTTAGTGACCTACAAAATCAGATGCAAGCAAGCATGACACCTCTATATATGCGATATAAACAGGAGAATATGAGCCATAAACCTCACGCAAACAGGCATTACCTCTTGTCCATCGGGGCCAACCTCTTTGACCTCACGTGTGAGGGTGCTAAGAACTGAATCAGGATCAGTCACAACTATTTTGAAAGCCTGCAGAAAAGTAATAATTCACGTTCATTACTGAAAATCAACACCACAAACAGACATTGAAACAATGGTAAACATCCTTACCTCAAAAGCATGACCATACTTCCGATACAACGGCCAGCCAATATTGACATACAAGTCCTGTAACAAGTAATGTAAATTAGTAATAAGTTCATATCCTACGAAACACAATGAATAACAAACAATAAAAAGTAATCACTATAGTCAATCAATAACACATTTGATCATACGCCATCGATTTCTTCGCACTGAAAAAGTACATAAATTTAAGGGAACTGGATGCAGCTATCATTTACAAAATCCCAATTAACAATAACACAATATACATAGCTTTATAATTCTGCATAAAAAGACTAACTTTCTTCCCCCGAACATACAATTCTCACAAATTCTGGGAACCCAAAACATCACAAAACCCCAACAATCGAAATTGAAACAAAATTACCTCCAAGTCAATCCCCAAAGTCTCACCCACGTGACGCATGATGGAATGGACGAGCTTGCTCTTGTTGTACCTCTCCTCGCAGGCCTGGATATCCTCCTCGGAAACCCTCCGCTTGCTCAAATCAATGTATCCCTTCTCCTTGTCGACCCTGAGGACCATGACGGGCTCGATGCGGCCGACCTTGATGAGGCTGCTGACACTCCGAATCCGGCGGCGGGAGAGCTCGGAGAAGAGAATCATGCCTTCGATGTTGTTGTACTCGAGGAGGGAGACGTAGGCGCCCATGTCGGCGATGTTCTTGACCTGGATCATCACCGCCATGTCCACCTCCGGGTACCGCGCTTCGTACATCCGGCACTCCAGGTTAGGCGCGTGGGAAGCCATGGTTGCTGCTGCTCAATAGATTGATTCACCTACGGTTAGGATTAGAGAGAGAGAGAGAGAGAGAGAGAGAGAGAGAGAATTTCTGGGTTGCTTGGCGCGCCGGAGAAAAGAGGGTTAGGGTTTTGAGAGCAGAGAGAGAGAGAGAGAGAGAGAGAGCTTAGCTGTGATAGTATGGTAGATGGTCCAGCAACTCAACGTTTGTACCGGAAACGCTGTTTTCTGTATTTTTATTTATGGTGGGCCGGGTAAAGCCCACATAGCTCAAGGCCCAAATCTGAGAAGTGAAAAAAAATAGAACTTTAACGAAAAACTCTCGGTATTGTTCACTTTAACGAAAAACCACATTTGTACACTAAAAAATTAATTCTGATACTATTCACTTTACCCTTTATTTTATCATTTTCGTTAAAACTCAAAATTTTCAAATCATTTCCATGAGTTTTCCTAAAAAAATGAACGTCCACGGCAGGATTCCAACCTGCGCAGGCAAAGCCTAACAGATTCCGAGTCTGTCTCCTTAACCACTCGGACATATCGACCGCACGGTCTTCCCATGTCCAACGGAGCCGTTGGATGGTCTTGAAAGGGTTCTGGTAAAAGCGCTTCAACTGGTGGAGGGTTGCAGAGACGAGCTGCCTCTACGTGATTGTCGTAGTGTGGAGTGTATTGTATCAGTTCCGGCAAGTCCAGGCGGAGATTGACCGCCACGTTGGTCTCCCTGTCCACCCCTTGGTTTCTCTGCTTCAAGAGTTTCGCCTTCGTATGTCAACCTGCTTCGTATTAGACAGTCTCACATGTTATTTTATAGCATAACATGGTGTTTTCTTACTAGATTGTTTGGAATGTTATTTTACGACATGATATATAGACAGTATAACAAGATAACATTTTTAACCAAAATAAGTCTCAATGAGAAGCGAAGCTGAATATCGAATTACAGCGATCAATATCGATTAACGATCCTAATCAATGCCCGGTGGCTGAACATCTTATCAATGTTGCAGAAAATGTAGTGATTGGTGTGTTGCCAATAAAGAAAGTGAGAAGCTTCTTGTCTACGAACCAAGTTATGTTGTGTCAGGGTAAGTAGTGTTTGCAAGATTGACAGTACACCAGCCAATCACGAGTAATTTTTCGATGCTACCATAATGCTGACAAGTAATCAATGCCCTTATGTTATAACACGTAAAGCACATTTTAGTAACCTGAAATGCAGCTCTGCATTACTATTTGGTTGATTGAAAGCATTTTGTGGCACAGGTACATAATCGATGCTAACTCCATCTATGGAGGCCCCGGCTTTCAGCCAGAGAATGAAGGCCCGACGGAGTGGTAGCCTGAGCTTTTCGGTTGTTGCAGTTAGCCTTCTATGAAATGGACTTACCCCGCAAAAGCGGGTTAGGTCAATTAACTAAGACAGGATACTCTAAATCTCCTTCGTAGATTAAATTAGTTTAGAGTAGAATATTGTCTTGTAAAATAAAAAATCAAAATGGACTTGTACACTAAAAAGGCTGCGAGTCCTTTAGCTTCAATTCACGACTCCAACAATATGGCACAAATCAACATCAGTTGTATTGAATTCACGTTTTGGGTCTCCACACACTCGACAAATTCTTATATCTGACTACCGGCATATACAAGGGTCTCTCCTTCAATGTGAGAGTGGTGCCGAATATAAACAGCCGGACATAAGAATTTCTCGAAAACTCCAACGTTGCATCTCTTTTTGGCTCAAGTTTTCTGGAATTTTTCAAGCACTGTAAAAAGAATGCTTTGCAGCACCGCAACGTAAAGATTGTTACTTCGGTTTGGGATGTGGCTGCTTAAAGAAAATATGGCCCAGCTCTTAAGAACATTCACATTCAAAGCGATTGATCCCATTTCATAAGAACAAAACTGAGTACATTGTAAATCATAAGAACGAGTGAAGACGTGTATGCCATTCATCTCTACAAGAACACAGTAGTTGCAGAATACAGAAAGGCTGTTTTGTTAGGAGCAAAACAACGAGAGGACAACGATACAAAACTCAAAATGGTACCGGCAGCCTCGGATACTTCAAACGGTGAAAACTTCTGTATCAGAACAAAAGACCAGAAGTTTCTATATTAGCTACAAGAAAGAGTTGGCTGTGAATGCAGGCCACCAACGGCAGTCCCAGCAAGCAAATAGAACGCACAATTATCCCTTCCTCACTTGAAAAGAAAAAACTACAATTCATCGAGGGTTTTATCACCATTCCCCAGTGAGAACAACCAACGGAACAGTTGAGATAACTTACTGGCTGGCTTCACCTCCTTTTCTTCCAATTTTGCATTGCACACTGAGTTATAGTCGTGCTTCAGATGAGGAGCAACTATTCTTTCCTGTAAAACCCGAAATGGTAAAATGAGAATGAGCTGAATGGCCAGTATCTATACGTGTGAGAGTAGGATAGAAACCGTACCTTGAAAATATCGAGTGGACAGAAATCAGAGCCATCACAGCCCTATACACCAAGACACAAAAAATTATCGTGTGAGAATTCAATACAATAAAACTCAGCAGTAACCATCATAACTGAAACAGCTGATCACTATCGGCCCTAAGAAATAATGGATAAAAAGAATACCAATGACAACATATTATGAAATTTATACTAATTGCATTCCTCATTAACTTTTCAAGTACAAAAATGAAACCGAAGTTTAGAATCCAAAACTCTTCAAAATCATAAGAGTTCAAAATAAGTAAAGAACTGGAGCTTACTGGCATTGGAATGGGGTGTTCATTGTGCAGCACTTGCACAAAGTACTTGCTTGAAGTGTTGGCTGGACAACTGTACAGAACCAGCATATTATTCCCACCAAAAGGTGCCACAGTATTGCCCCTCCACTTTCGCTTCTGGGGAGGCTTTGGAGGGAGTTGCAAGGGCTGTTCCTTCTGTGTCCGTTCAAATTCTGAAGTATATAAAAAACAACGCCTACTATGAGGAACAGCATATAGAAGATGCCATATACAGTTATTATTTCCACACACGAGCATACACCCCAATCATCCAAGGAAATTCAGAATTTGCGGACGAAATCACTCACCAGATCCATCAAGAAAAAGTCCAAGCAGGCATGAAAATGGAACTACAGTTTCTGCATGTGCGAACCTTAGCCTTGCCCTGTTCATAATTCCCAGGAGCATGTTTTTCTACAAAACGACAAGGGCAGAGAGAGAGAGCAGGAACTGAAATATCAGAAGTCATATAAAACTGAACTGCCATAGTTTACAACTTCTAACTACACTACTACCCAAGACGGGTTACAAAGGAGAAAAAGTCAAAAATAATCCTTTTATTAAGTTCATGTATGTACCTTCTTCAGCCGTAATAGCCTGCTCCATGGACTGCAATACATCTTCAAGCAAGGGAACTCCCATTCTATAGTTTAATGATTTACCATATCCCTTTAATATAAAGGCTTCCAAATCATCTGCCCACTCCAGCAAAGAAACCTAAGAACACAAAACTTTTTCATGTAAATAAACAATAAAAGAACATACATAATATTCGAAAGTATGTTTCCTTGTATTAATAGACGTGTCTACAACTTAAAAAGGATAATCTGATTAAACTTAGTTTCATATATTCTATCCGTCTTCAAAATATGAGATTAGAACCAAAAATGCAATAAAAATTCGGTTAATCATCTTTGACATAAAAAATCATATATACCTCAGAAGGGGTGAACAGTGCACAAGCTTGATCAGTTATATTAAACAAGGACGCTTCCTGCCAAATAGAACAAACAAATAATGACCATAAAAATCAATTTCACTTGGAGAATAATTAACCAGAGAGAAATATGACGTGCTTATGCATGGAAGCAGAAAGAAATAAATCACCTGTTTGCAAAGAAACCAAAGAGAAGTTGTATCCTTCTTTGTAAAATTCAACCTGTAGCGCCTCCTTAATGAAGAAGTAATTTCATCATAGACAGGTTCCTTGAGCTTATCAACAGCAGGCTCCTGACTTTTCTTATATGCCTGAATACATAATAAATCTTCGTCAACCAACAAATAAAGCAGAGAAATCCAGATGAACCAACAGAAACATCGGTTATGGCAACCAGTCTAGTTCCCCCAATCCCACCAACAATGAAAGTACGTAATTAGCTTCTGTGTGTGGCATGTTTAAAAATCAAAGAGAAGACCAAAACTGCAGAGTACCTTGTAGTTTTGGCAACAATCATGAAACCTCAACATTATATCACTCGCACGACTTTCACTGGACACAGCAAAAGCTCGATGACGACCAGGTCCAAGATTTCCTTTCCCACTAAACATTCCCATGCCAAATGCCACAGCACTGGCGGATGCCCGAGGGACCTACCACATCATAAGGAAAAAAAAAAAAAACAGATGCATAAGCTGATAAGTTCTTAATGAATTGAGGGAAAAAATTTTCTATAGCTGCTATCCACAGCCAGAGAGATATGACAACTTTAATCAGCGTTAAGCCTCAACTAATGAAAATAAATTACTCCAAACATTCCAATAACAAATTTCCAAATATAATAGATGACTATTATGCCATAATAAAGTTACCATCAAAACAAGGCTCATCATGGAAATAACACATATAGCGAAAAAATAGTTTAATGCTATTGTATAATAAAAAGTACTGGAAAATCCGTACAACAAAGCTTACCTGTGTTGCCTTTATTGTGTAAACATCTGGATGGTAATCCTGATCAAACAGATTTGGGAACCTTTCTCGTGTCCTGATTCCAAAATCATAGAGTTCATCCTCTCCTTGGACAATTAATTCTCCACCTGTCAGTTTTCCTTTCCAAGGAGATTTCCAACCCTTTAACCAACCAGGAAGTTTTTCCAAAGACAGGTTCTGTTCTTCTGCTTCTTTTAGTAGCACCTCCAGACGAGAGGCCAGGATATCCATTTCTTTGATACGTTTTTTGGTAGGAGCACGGGTTCCATGCCTTGCCTGATAATATAAGTTTCATCAGGTTCCACAAGTGTGGCACTCTCCAAAGTTTATGGATTAAAAGATTAAAAGCGGGCCCAAAATTTGACCGCCTCAACGGTAACTTGTGGAAAGCTAGCAGGGTTATCTTAACAAAGCGCAGTGCAACAACAACGCATACATAAAAAAGCGCAATGCATTTGCAGCAAACTTATTTTCCATTTGAATCTTCGAATCTAAGTTACTTCTTACAGTAGAACCTAGTAATGCATCTTTATATAACGCTTATAACGAACCGAAGAATCAAACAGTTGAAACAAAAATTGCAGCTTGGAATTTGGAATCGAAACACGAAAAAGAAATGTACCACAAGATTTAGGTGGATAGGAGTACACCCATCTGGTATCTTAGATGGTACAAATGAGTTGTCCGCAATGTCTTTAACGACACCGTATCTGCAGCAAAAACCCATTAGTTATTTCTCAGAATCGTTCACTATCATCCCTAAGGTTCTTCACATTACTTGAAAAGATTAATTCTTTGAGTTAAATAAAATAAATAAATAACAAAAAAAAAAAAAGCAATTTGATGATATTTAACAATTTAAGAACCAATAATCTAGTTGTAATTTGGCATCAACGACATATCAATTGAGCGTAAAATATGATTAAAACAAAGTAAATTAAAATGTATTTTTAATCAAATTAATGGAAAAGATATGAATTTGTGAAAGAAGAGAGAAACCTGGACGCAGTAGAAAGATGTTGGCGAACATCGAAACCTTCTTCTCCGGCATTCGAATGGACGAACACCGATAACAATATCAGCAGAAGCGCCGCCATGGCTCTCCTCATCCTCCCTCTCTCTCTCTAACACACACACACACACTCTCTCTCTCTCTCTCTCTGCGTTAAGAAGTGGAAGGAAAGTAATAAACTGGAAAGCAAATCGGCAAATAAATGGAAATGAGGAAGATTTTTTCTTCTTGGCACTTTTATTTGGTCGAAAGTTGCAGGTGGCGTAACTTGTCCCATCAATGAACGCCGCGTGGCAAAAGTTGAATACGCGTGGTGGCCGCGGACTAATGGGCCGGTCAGATCTCTTCCACCAGGCCCCATATCAAGTGATTCAGCTTCGGACGCTTGAAATTTGATCAACGGTTCAATTATTATAATTTTTAAAAGAGGTCTTTGTTTTTAAATGTTTGGTCAAATTTCAAGGACTTGGATCACTTGATCTGAGGATCTTGGTGGAAGAGATCTGGAAAGGATCTCTTTCCATGGGCTGCCGCAACCACGGACTCTTCCCCAGTGGGCCCCAACTATCCTAGCATCCAACATGGGCGGGCCTTGTGTTTTAGGCTTTTAGCCCATCAGTCAAAGCCCACCATGCTCCATTGTGAGGGCCTCTCTCTCTTCCCCCCCCCGGGAGGAGATATTTTGTTAACATGTAATTTAGATACAGACTATATATTTTTTAAGAGAGACTGAGTTTTTTATTTATTTGAGATAGAGATTAAACTTATAAACATGATATGCGGTGTCATGATTATTTTTTAATTGCTTTTCCATTTACAATTTTATTCTAAATCTCTATATTCTTATTTATACGTCTTAGTTTTAAATCCTTTTTTTTCTTCTTGGTCCATTTCGCTCGGATACTTCCTCAAAGTTCAAGCTCACAGTCCCAAATGGTAATTACACCCCTCTCACCTTCTGTTCTTCGTTTTTTTTTTCTATTTTTTTTTGTCTTGTAAATTTACTTTTCCTATTTCCAATCGCCATTGAATATTTTCTTTTACTATTATTTTTTGTAGTACGTAGATATTAATTTAAATTCTACGTCCTTAATATTTTTCCTTATCACTGTAAATTTATTTTCATGGTTTTCAACATTGCCTAAAATTTGAAATGTTATTAGTAAAAAACTTTTTTTTAATGATTTTTTGTTGTTGTTGAACTGAATAATAAGTGTATGAATCTGGTCAATGTGGGGTATATATCCAGAACCTTATAGTGTTGTGCCTATAGTTTTTGATATGATTATTGTTAGAGCTAACAGAAGATTTGGTAGAAAACCAACGATGTGTTTTAGGATTCATACAGCTGACACTATTTAGTGGGATAAAGCTTCGTTGATGCACGGTAAGTGAGGCCTTCGAAAAGCTGTTATGAATTGAACTCTTTTATTCTGTTGCTTTGAAAATATGATTTGCCATTTTAGTTGGGGGATTAGAGGAATGATGATATGAGTAAAGAGAGAGCTTTCCATCTCTTTTCTCCACATTGCTTAGAATCCAAGTTGAAACAGACTGAACGAACCCTGATGAGCTGAACCAAGTTTTTTCGCTAGGTGACTTATGTTCTCGATTTCAAATGGATCGATTTGGTGGTTGAGTTTTGTGCTCGCGACTTTTGCAGGCGAGAGGTTTGAAGAAGCATTTGAAGAGGCTCAATGCCCCGAAGCATTGGATGCTCGACAAACTTGGCGGAGCATTTGTAAGTTGAAAACCTTTTTACCCATTAATAAGTTCTGTGAAAGGACGATAGATTTTGTTGCAGAACTTATGTTGCTTCTTGATTTGCAGATGTTATTTCAATCCCCAAAACGAATGAGAATTTCCGGCTCCTTTATGACACAAAGGGTCGGTTCCGTCTCCACTCAATCAGGGATGAAGAGGCAAAGGTTACTGTTACTTTTCAAAGTACATGACTTAAATTCTTGTCCAAAAAAAATTTACATGACTTGAATAAGTTATAGCTACTGCATTTGGATCGTGTTTCATCATTCCATATGGATCCTTTCGATCTGCAAAATTCCATAACTTGAATAACACAAAGGGTCTGTTCGGTCTCTGCTCAAACTGCATTTCATCTCGTTAACTGATCGACATTTTCTCTATTCTGATTTCGTGAGAACGGGTTTTTCGCTGCAGTTCAAACTTTGCAAAGTCCGGTCTCTGCAATTTGGGCAGAAGGGTATCCCATACATTAACACCTATGATGGACGGACCATCCGCTACCCTAACCCTCTCATCAAGGCCAACGACACTATCAAGCTTGACCTAGGGACCAACAAGATCACCAACTTCATTAAGTTCGATGTTGGCAATGTGGTCATGGTTACCGGTGGAAGGAACAGGGGGCGTGTCGGAGTCATCAAGAACAGGGAAAAACACAAGGGAAGTTTCGAGACAATCCACGTCCAGGATGCCACCGGCCATGAATTTGCTACTCGATTGGGCAATGTGTTCACCATCGGAAAGGGGACAAAGCCGTCGGTAAGTCTTCCCAAGGGAAAGGGTATCAAGCTGACCATCATCGAAGAGGCGAAAAAGAGGCAAGCAGCTCTACAAGCAGCCACGGCCTGATTAACTATGCACAGCCTTCAAATTTTGATTGACTTGTCTGGCTATTGGTTTTGCTTTTGGACCTGGAGCTAGTAGTTCTGAATTTGTTCTTCAACGTTCATACGTTTCCTGTTTGTTTTGCTCACTACATGTGAGCCTCAATTTTTTGTTATTTGAAGTTATTTGGAATTGGTCAAAGAGTACTCTACTTGATACTTTCATAACCTAGGCCAAGTTGCTCTTGGAATTTGTCGAAAAATTAGAGCCGGTTGAAAGTTCTTTTAAAACAACTGAAGTCTTTTTAAAGAAAATGTTTTTAAGTTTCAAAAGTACTTGAAGTGCACATTGCAAGAAATACCAGTTCCAGTTATGTGTTTCTTTTAGAAAATACTTTATGCATTTTTCTAAGATTTACTTGCATTTTTATTAATAATTGTTTAAAAACATTTTCAACAAAAACGTTTTCAATCATTTTAAAAACACTCTAAAATAACTCTTACTCACGCAGTGGGTATATATATATATTCTCCTATTGACCAGCCTATTTTATCAGAAAATAATGTTAACTTCAAGAAACATTAGGAAAAAAAACCAGTGTGCCGGTTGCATTAATAGAAAGGATAAGTAGTTCACAAGCTGCATTCAACTTACTCGACTAAAATTTGTCCCAATATAATCAAAACCCCTAAACAGCTACAATCAGCACAACAGACAGCATACGACCACTTTCAAACTGGTTACCGAGAAAGAACGGGGACAAACTCATCATCACGCAGCAACAGCATCCTAGTTGAGCAGCGCCTGGTCGAAGTGCCAGACCCCTGTAATGCACAGCAAAACATAGCGTTAAGAAACAATGCAATCGGATCAAGGAAAGGTTCTTATCATAAGATAGAAAGATGTCGGTGTGGGATCAAGTAAAGATGATTCTGAAATTGAATCATGGGGATCTTACCGTGTCCTTTTCCGACTCTCCTTAGTTGAGCAACATATTCAGAGATTTTCTTGATGGCTTCCACCTGGAAAGGTAAAAGTAGAGCATCAAAACCATGCTACGAGCATTATCCCCTGTAGAACATTTCCAACTCAGGTGATAAACATTGGACGGCAAAATTTACCTGCTCGGTCAAATACTCGCTTTCAACAAAATCTGTTAACTGCACATCTTTGTTCTTCTCAGCAACCTGTTATTTGTAAAGCCAAAGGTAAAAACGTCTTGTAAGTTAGAACATGGCATAAAAAGATTACTAATTCCTCATAACACGAATCAAATGACGTTACTGGTGAACGAAGATCAAATTAACCATATATAATCAGCTAAATCGAATCATCTTACGCTAATACGACAGCAGAGAATAAGAACAGAAGCCTTACACTGTGTAAGTGGAGCAGCTTTTCATTTGTCAGTTTCTCCAGAGACAATGCAAGCTCCATTGCTGCATCAAAAGAAAAGGGACAGAGTTAGAGCTCTATAATTAACAGTCCTATAACTAGTTCAATGACACGAAATCATCTGCATAAACCAGGTCCTCAGGCCCTGCCTTCTCTCATTTCTCGTTATCAATAACCCCGTACATTTCATTACGTACATCACATTTAATTAATTGATACGAAGGTGATTAATTTTCTTCAAAACTCAATCCCAATGTGCTACGACACAGCTAAAGACTAAATATATTCATGTAAATGATTATATAATAGAATGGTGTCCAACGGGCCAAAACATAATTTGTTAAAGTAAATGTTCTGGCCACAGAAACACAATTGAGGGCCAATAAAACTAACCATACAAAGCATCTCCTTTCTCTGGATGATCGAACTCAGACACAGGCATCAGAATAGACTGCAATTTCACTCTTCCACCACGCTTATTCTGAGAAATGCCGACATCAAACAAAAAAACATGATAAGGAATTCGGTTTTACAGATGAGAAACTTAATTTATAGCCTATTGGAGTAACAAAAACACCTGGTATTCCATAAATTTCTCAGCATGATCCCTTTCTTCCTCACTCGATTCCTTGAAAAAACTGCGATATAACAAAACCATAAATAACGAAATCATTGTATTAAATGCTAAAATTAGTCGTAAGGATTTCCAGGAAATTACTTGGCAAGACCCTTGAGAGCAACATTGTCCCGATCGAAATAGGCGTACATGGCATGGTATATGTACGAGACGTTGTACTCCACACTGATATTCCACCAAAGAAACGAATCGATCAATCGTTAAGCACAGCAGAGAATAAACAAATAAACCAAATTTTGACAAAGAATAGTGGGATTCACAATTGCAATACTTTTAGATACGACATTCGAAACCAAACATACATGCGCAAATCCAAGAACAAAGATTTAGCAATACATCCAAACACAAATCCAAGCAGGTACAGATAGAATAATTTCACATTAAACAATTAAAGGCACAATATTTCATATGATGAAAGAATGCTTTGAAAGTTGAAACAATCAATCGGATAACTAATCAAGATTTTAACTTTAACACACAGAATTCATTACGATAATCAAATATTATGTAAATAACAATTCTTTCATAGATATATAACATGTGAAGGGAAAAGAAAGAGAAAACCCACTTGATCTGCTCGTTAATGGCGGCCTCACTTTCGTCAGTGTACTTCTGGCGGGCCAGAGAGACTTGTGGGAGAGTAGGAACGAGATCGAGCTCCTTCTTCACCTCCTCAAACGGCTCGAAAACCACACCGGTAAGCGGCCGGTTAGTCGCATTCTTCGACGCGCTGACGACGACCCCACTTTCATTTTTCGCCGAAGGGAACCGGAGAATCGAAGACAGAGACGTGGAGGAGTTCAGAGGCGAGAACGAGTACGAAATGGGCGGCGGTGGCGACGACGGCGCAGAGGAAAACAGAGGACCAAAACTGTCCCCGCGAGCGAGCAAGTGAGAGGAGGCTGCAGAGGCTTTGAGAAGCATGATTCTAGAGAGAGAAACAGAAGCGTTGCCGGAGAGGAGAAAGAGTAGATCAAGGTCAAAGAAGCAGAGAAAAAACCAGAGGAAATGGAGGGTTTGAGTGAGTGTGCGGAGGTGAAGGAGAAAAAGTTGGCTATATGGGTGGCTAAGGATCGTATGAACCGTTGGATCAAACACACGTGGACGGTTGCTATTGATTTGTTGGGACGGGCGCGTGGCGGGCTTGTGGCGTGGGTGGATGGATGTGCTGTGGAATCCAAGGAAATATCTGGAATTTTGGGGCGTGTGTTGAACTTTTTGGGGTTTCTTTTTGTTTTTTGATTTTAGTATGGGTAAACTGCCAACTTTTTTCTTCTCGAACTTTTATTTAACTTTTGATTTTTTTTTTTTAAACTTTTGAATTGGAAAATTAAGTATTCAAATTAATTTTTTTGACCAATTTTTCCTTACTGTTAGTTTTTCATTTATTTTGTCCAAATTTTTGTTAAATAAAAGTATGTGCACAACATATAAGAGTAGTTTCGTCACTTCATTCTTTAAAATAATTGAAATTCTAAATTTCTAAAATAACGACCTGTGCAAATTTGTGTGATTCTATAGCTTTTGTGTTTGAAGGTTTAGCAAAGTGACTCTATTGTTCTCAAAGGAGTGTCACATACTATGCATGTGATAAAAGTTAAGGTTAATTTAGATGGAATCTATGGAAACTAATAGTAGAGGGGAAATTGGCATAAAAATAAAAATTAGTTTAAGTCCTTAACTTTCCAATTAAAAAGTTTAATGGGAGATCGAAAACTAAATGAAAGTTCAAGAGAGAAAATTGGCAATTTACTTTCTTTGTATCTTGCCACAAAAATGCAGAAAGTAGTTTCTTCTTAAATTAGAAAGTAAATTTCGAATAGAACTCTTGACTGTGATATATGAGATAACCATAACACTATATTAGGATGATGAAATTTAAGATTACTAAAGAATTTTAAAATAACGGAAATTGAAATGACATGATTTTATTTTCTATAATTTGTGAATTTTCTTGTTTGGTTAACTTAAAAGAACAATAGAATTGAATACGGAATTTGTTATTTTTAAACTTTCAATCATAGAAATTGGAAAATGACACCTATTTACATGGAATTTAAACTTGGGAATTGGAAGTCCTAAATTCCAAGTTCTTCTTCCATGCAGAAATTCTAAATTTCTATGTTTATGAATTCAAACAAGGGAATTGATGCATATCAATTTATAAATTTTGACTTATATCTAAATTCCAAGTTTATTTTCCTCATCCAAACATAGTGTAAAGGAAATGCGAAAGTTATCTTTCTCACTACCATCGAGTAGATTTTAATTTTTTAATTTATCTTTTCCACTACCATTGAGTAGATTTGAATTTAAAAATTTTATAGTCAAAAGAAGATTTGAGTATGTCAACATTCTACTTAAGTCCAATTGGAATTTAGATTTTTGATGTAGGTACTCATATTTATGCTTTTAATCTAAGACATTCCAGCTAATTCTTGCAAGTGACGCTAGACTAGACAGTCATATGCATTGAGCACTCTTATAACATGTTTTTGGAGTGGTCAAGATATCTTGGGCACCATCCTCTTGCAAACCAGTTTTTATAGATAAGTTCCACTCATAAATTCTTAAGAATTAATGTATATGATAGACAAGTGAAACCGCCCTCAAGAAAGAAAAAGTGGTTTACGAGCTCTTGAGCACCCTTATAAATAGAAGAACAAATACAACTCATGAGCTTTTGACTCACCTAGTCTTCTTCTTGATAAAAAAGGGTTAGATTGATTGTTTGCTCAAGATTAGGGGTGCAAGTTGGATTTGAAATTTCAATCTGAACGGAAATTTTTTATTTCATGCCCGAACATTTCCGATTCCAAAAAATGTTGAAATATTTGGGTACCAATTAGTATGTAATTACCCAATTCAAAAATTTTTGAAAGTCTTGCAGAATATAGGAGATTCAATTTAGGTTTCGAAAATTCTGAGGTAAAACTGATTTCAAAATTTTCGATAATCCAAAATTCCGAAAGTAAAATTCCAATTTGATTTTTAAACTTCGTTGAATCGCATTGAAACGCTTGTTTCCGATCCAATCCAACTGAAAATCACCCCTACTCAAGATATGGGATAGGAAAGGCCAGATACGATCGACGTGCCAAGATTATGGTTGTGACGTTTGACAAGTATGTTTTTGTCTTGAAGGTTTTTGGGGGGTCACATTTATTCTTTGTCTAGAAAAGTTGGGCTTTCCTTTTTCCTTCTGATTTTCTGAAAGGGATTATTAGAAAGGGATATTATTAGCCTATTAAACTTGTGTTAAGGTACTAATACAAACATCCCCCTCTTCCAAAGCTTCCAAGAGGTTAGGTGACAATTTTTAAAGTTAATTATAAATTATTATACAAGAATACAAAATACATTGCATGTGATCTGTTATTCTAGTAGATAAAATGCTGAGTTTGTATCCCAAGCTTAAAAACATCTCTTATTCTAAATTAATATAACAGTTTCAAGTTGAGCTTTATCATTAAAATGACCTACTATTCTGAGTGGAAGTCAAGAAGCCTACTAATGTTAAATTGGGCCTTATCATAGGTCCAATTTTCTACACAATATTAAGGGCCTTGGTCTTACCGGATAAGCACTCCAAATTGTCCAAAGGAAACTTGTTCTTGCAGTTGCACAGCACAAATCCAATTTGCCTCATCTTTCCCTCCTAACATATATATATATATATCCTTGTTTTGGGTGTTGAGAGATTTGTGTTGAATCATACAAAAGGTCATTGAGAATTAGGTATCGAATTGCCAATTAGGTTAGTTGAACTTCAGACTTTCTACTTACAAATATGAAGAAATATTACTAAACTGTAATACAAAGAGGAGAGCAAAGAGAACCTTTCGATACAAGCAATGGCGTAGCCTCGACAGCATAACTAGGATGGCAAAGTGAACTAGGTTGGGAACTTGAGGTGGGCTTTTAAGATATAGATTTGGGTCGAACTGGAGCTCCTCCAACTCTCTTTGGAGTTCCGCCTCCAAGGGAACACCAAATATTTGACTTTGACCTTGTAATTTTAACCGCTTTAACTACAAGTCTCTTTCAAATATGGGTTGTTTATGATTCCTATGCCAAGATACGGCAGAGCGCAAGAGAGATTATAAATCCTAAAGAGATATTTGATATTGTTTAGCAGTGAAATTACCATTGTTGGGGTTTTGCAGAAAGTGGGAATCGTGAATTGATAGAAAACCATGCATGACCACGATGCTCATTTAATGCTGGCATTGGAGGTCTCATGTTTTCCCTTGGGCCGATGTCTGTTTCTTCCCTTATAATTTGTTTGTTTGTTTATTTGTACTAATTCTTGGAGATTCGATCATACAAACCAAGAACCATGCATGGTTCTTACCAATTTATTAGAGCTTAGGTATCCGACCCCTTGTTTTGTAAAAGGATAAGATGTAATTAGTTAAGCATATTGCGTTAAGTTACGAGTGTTTTTACTAAAAGGACTTGGATGACACGGGTACACTATCCTAATGATGTCTCATACCAAGAATACAAAGGCATGCATTTATCGACAAAGTTAAAAATTTCTTGTAGTGGTGGTAATCCAAAAAACAACTAAGTAAACTTTATGAAAGTATGGTTTATACCACTATAATAATGAGGATGATTTCAAAAGACGATGAATCACAATTCCAATGTTACTAAAACAGTGGAAAGTGACAAAATGATGAGAAAAATATTAGTATATGAGAGGCGGGAGGAGTTTTTAGGTTGGAATGGCAAAACAAGAGCACTTTTGCTTATATATATAATATTTAATAGAGAGTAAAGTAATATGAATGTATGTTTGATATTAAATATATATATTTTCTTCAAAGATAATGCGTGCATATATAGTCTGTAGCTTAACAAACAAATTACTATTAACGAAAAACATTACCATATACCTATATTATACAAATTGCTCGCTTCTTTGACAAGAGCGTAACTCTATAAGAGTCACCACAAGAGCCAAAACATTTGGCACAAAGAGACTAGCTAGACCAGATGGAAACAAAACATTGTAGCATACCAACATGCAACGGAAGGAGGGGTGTTTCATTTTGGAAACATGAAAAGAAGCATGGAATTGTGTGATGAGCTATTAATGCAAGAGACTTTGGGGTTCTTCAAATCATATAAACAAATATCAATACTAATTAAATAATCTATGCAACTTAACTTATGTCAGGGCCTCATTAATTCTTGATAAGCTTGGGTTTTTTTTTTTAAATTTATTTTTATTTCTCTCCATTAATTAAAAAACCTATGTTTTTAATTAAGTGTCTCATGTACAAGAGCATCTTTCTTTCTTATGAAGGAAAGATCATCTTTAGGGTTTCGACGGTTGAGTGTGATAATTTCCCAGTATATATGCATCGGTTTATACTCGGACATATTTGGATTCTTGAATGAAGAACTTTTATATCATTAGACTCAATCTTAACAATGCATCTAACCATTAATTTGTTTTGATACATATCATACATTAGAGCATGAATGTTCAGAATAACGAGAGTTTCGATCTTCACAACGCATCTAACCATCAATTATTTTTATACATGTCATACAGTAGAGCATGAATGTTCAGAATGACGAGAATTCCGTCTTTAAGCACTTTTTTTATCGAAGGCCCCTTGTCCTAGAGTATGACTTTCTTTAAAAAACAAAATAGAAGAGGAGATTTTTGTGCTTGTTGATTGTTAGATCATGTCTTCTATGAGTAAGCAGTTTCAAATTCTATGATAGTGATTAGTGAATAGTGATGAGTCTAATGACTGATGAACTAATCACGGGTTCGTTCAAGGTTCAACATTGCTTAATTTCCACAAATTATAAAACCAGTGGCTCTGCATTGCCCAAGTATATCTAAGATTATATCAACCACACAATCTGTTTATTATTATTTTTTAATCTATATAAATATCTGCTCACGAGATACGATGAATCTAAATACTACCTGCTTAAGTTGCTAATTGCTTTTCTTTCTTTCTTTAATTCCCTTTCTTTTGTGCAACAATTAACATAAAAACAAATTGAGATCTTCTTCGGATCTCCAAGTCCAGAGCCAACAAATCAGAAATCCTAGCCCTTTAAGGAATAGAGAGAGATGTAGACCCTTAATTTGTGTCAAATGGGCTAATGAAATATGCTAATGGTATCCGTAGGTTTAAAATGAATAGCCCGGATTTCTGGGTTCACTGATTCCGGACACAGAGATCCGAAGAGGACTTCAATTAAAAAAAAAAGTAGGAATACCAGAGAGTTCTATATATTATTCAAGGGACTAATTGGAACAAGATCTATCATAAGACAAGTTAATTCTAGTTGCACTAAATACTACACTCTGCTTCAAAAAATGGAACATGTTCCAAGTGTTGTTCGTGACTCACTTCACATGTATGCATACAATGGATGCACATGAGAGACTAAAATATTGCACACCTAAACTCCTTTGTATCTTATATAAATTTGACTTAAAAAAAAAACACGATGACATTTTTAGGGTGTTTACAGAATGCGTATTCTGCAATATACTTGCTTTAATGATCATTCTAAATCCTTCTACAAGGAGCAAGTTGGCCAAAAGATTAATGAAAATGTAATCATACGTGCAAGTTGATAAAAAATCAAATCGACATTACAACTTACGTACAATTTGGGGTAGCCATTTTTTTTCGGTGCAACAAGAAATACTAAAATTATTTTTATTGAAAGCAACCTGCTAGAAGGGGAGTGAAATGTTGAAATATCCGAATAACTCTAAACACAAGTTATTAAAATTTAATCGAGTTAGAATGAGATGAAGAATTAATTAATTTAGAAAGTTGACATGAAAATTGTTTAAAATTTTAGTTTACATGACAAGTTAAAAAAATGTATAAGTTCATATAACATTTAAAAAAAAATCTCTCATTTAATTGCTGATAAAGCAGCACCCCACTGATACCCGGTTGCACCCCAGAGAAAACGTTGAGGTAGGCCCCGTAATGCACTCGAACAGAGACCCCATCTTCGTGATATATAGTAGTTGCTCACTAGCTCTAGGTAATGCAAAAATATACAAGTTTTAAATTACTTATTAGAATATTAATTTGGGTGAAATTATATAAGTACAATTTTTTGGGACCGTTGGTTGATCTAACCAATGATTTGAGTCATAAAATATATTCAGTGAGAGAAAGCATTCACGTGAATGTTTGTGGGTCTAAGTTCTAACAAACATTCACAATTAGCAGTCCTCTTGGCTCTCTAGTTTATTAGGGTCTAGTTAAGCAAAACTTACTATACCATATTACAAATTATTTACATGGACCGAAAAAATAATATTTACTCATATATTAAGTAGGGTAAAAATTAGTTATTAGCCTTCATACCAATTCTACAAGCCTAGATATTGTAATTTCTTTGATATACAACAATATTTTACACTGAAGGGAGAAAAGAAATAGATGCAATATATCAAATTAGAGCTCGTTTGAAAATACTTTTATAATGACTGAGAATGCTTTTGGTGAATTGATTTTGGGTTTTAAAAGTACTTCAAGTGTTTTTTTGGAAGAAACACCAGATATGTGCTTTTTGAAAGAAACACCATGCATGAAGCACTTCAAGTGCTCTTTTAGGATCCCTCTTGAATTTTTACTATGGATTTGTTAAAAAATACTTTCACCAAATCTCAGTCATTTTAAAAATAGTTTCAAATAAGCCATTAATATTGAACATAAAACTTGTCACTCTTTCAGGTGAAAAAAGTACCATAAACAGGTAATACTAGTGACAACCTAGTTATTAAACCTTATAATCTCCTAATGATTAGCTCAAAAATGTTCATATAGAAGCAAGGAATGTACACAGATCCTCAGCATAAAACAAATGTTGGAAAGAGTCAAAGAAGAACGTGGAAGCCATACAACTCTTTTCTTTGACATGAAGAACAAGCGGGGGGCGGCGGCCGACTTCTAAAGAACAAGCGAGGGGCGGCGGCCAACTTCTAACCTTGGATTTTGAGAGCCAAATTATATTAGACGTGGCCATACAAATATACACACACGCACACTTGAAGTTAGCTAATTTATTTTTCAAATTTTCATTTATATGACTATTTTTAAGTTGGGGTGGTCGAACCCTAAAACCGACAAGCAAAAAATAATTGTAAAATCAAAATTATCTTTTTTATTATAAGTAATATTATACGCTAATTTATACTAAGAAGAAAAGAATTTGAACCAGGGAGACACTGAGCTTGAAGCCTTGAACCATTGCTAGCAAAGCAAAACGCATTTGTTTGGTTGATAGCAATCTACAACGTTGTGGCACGGTTTGGACTAAAGAATGCTACACCAAGAAATCAATGATACCCACGTACTCAATCAAGTGAGATATTTAGCTATTTAAACTAAATTAATTAACTTATTTTAATTCCAATTAATTAATTATTATCTTTATCTAAGACAGTGTAGTTTGATATATATTTCAGACTTAAAGCCCCACACGTTCTCTTCTATCATAAATAGAGACCACCGATCCATTTCATTTCCTCCAAGTTGTAGTTCTCAGTCACACTTTCTTCCTCTTCTTAATTTCCACTACCCTCCAAATCAAAGCATTGCGCAATCAACATGGCCGGAACTTCTCCGTGCGCTTCCTGCAAGTTGCTGCGACGCCGATGCGCCAAAGACTGCATTTTTGCTCCTTTCTTTCCTTCAGATGACCCCCACAAGTTTGCCAATGTTCACAAGATCTTTGGTGCCAGCAATGTTAGCAAAATGTTGCAGGTCCTTATTTCTACATATTTTCTCTACTTCTTTTCTTGTTTTTTTCTTTTCTCGTTAACGTGTTAGGAGGGTTTCAACCCTCCAAACCTCTTACAGCAACAAGAAGAAAAATATTACTAGAAAAGCTAGGTTTATGAGGGGTATATGTGCGTTGAGAACAAAAATATCACTTCAGACGAAAAATTAGCTGGCCCAAATGTTTTATTTAAAACAGACCATATCATTAAGCGTTGTCGTTTAATTGAATTATTCGTATGTATGTTGCAGGAGCTTCCGGTTCATCAGAGAGCAGATGCAGTGAGCAGTTTAGTGTATGAAGCAAATGCAAGAATGAGGGACCCTGTGTACGGATGCGTTGGGGCCATCTCTTACCTGCAAAACCAAGTCTCCGAGCTACAAATGCAGCTTGCTGTGGCTCAAGCTGAGATCCTCTGCATCAAAATGCAGCATGAGCCCATGGTCCCTCCACAACAGATAATGGACGGGCCAGATGATCAGAAATCGTATTTTCTCCACAACAACAATCTCGCTCAGTACCTCAGTTTTCCGTCTTCCAGCAATGTAATCCATGACTCTCTCAATAGGGAGAACATTTTCGGACACGACATGGTTTCTTAATAAAGTTTGTAATAACATATTAGGCTTTTAAATAACTAATTAGTCTGTTCTAAATTTTTCTTCGCTGAGTAGGTCTTCTAATAAAGATTTCGCCGATCGTTTGAAATTGTTCATTTATAAATTTTCCGGAAAATTCTTCTCTCCATCAGAACATTAGAGCCGTTAGACTTAGAGAGGAGTGACCTATAGAACAAGGGTAAGATGGCCAGGGTCAACTCTATAGCATGTGATGAAGTGATAAATTAGGATTTTTGATCAGTAATTTACTGAACAAACAGCTTCTATGTATCTATGTAATAGCACATAGATGCAGAAGGGTCGGTGGCCAATTTCAACAGTACGGAACATAAATTAGGGTTCTTGCATATTATTACTTTTTTTTTTTTTCACCGGAATTATCTTGCTGTGGTTCTTTAAGGACAAAAACATTAAGTGTCAGCACATCGAACTTAATTTTGAGAATCTGGACTCTGGAGCAATGGTTTTACCTAATAAGCCAAAGATTGGAATTTCATGGACCTCGATCCTGTTGCAAGAAAGACAAAACCCAAATTCACTGCTCTTCTTTCCCAAAACACTAAATTTCAAAAATGTTTCTACATACGACACAGAATATAAGGAATTTATCTACTATTTAATTGATAGTTCAGTCTCATATTTTCTCACATGGCCAGAGATGCCATTTGTGTTTGTTTTTAAGGTAATGAAAGGCACCACTTCAGGTAAGTGCTTTTAGAACAAGAAGTGAGAAACTTCACTAAAATTTAAATCTTCAGTGTCTTAAGTTAATGATAGGCTTGCAGCTGCTGCTTTGCTTCCATTTCCGATTTAATTAGTCTCTAATTAAACTAGTAATTTCCAGCCTAATCTTCACAATTAGGAAAAGCCAAAAATTTGGCATGCCGCCACCTGTTGCAGATAATAACTTGTTCTTCTAGCTTGTTCACGTGGGGTGTAAGGAAGTGGCGGTTCAGTGCATGAGAGAAGTATACAGTAGCAGAAATTAATATTAAATTTTTAGTAATATAATATGTTTTTCTAAACTCATCTCTCAATACATTACAAAAAATGATTAAGTGATTTCCAGAACATATCTTTCTTTTTGTATATGCTTATAATTTGTTTAATTGTTTAATTAAATAAATACCAAAAAAAAAAAAAAAATCAAAACAAACAAGAGTGCAAAAGAAGAAAAGAGACGTAAGAATTTTTTTTTCTGCAGTGTATATCAAATCAAATGAAATAATTCAAAAGGATGAAGGTAAAAACAAGGGGTTTTTTGAAATGGGTTCAAAGTAACTAAAAATTGGACCCATTTTAAAAGTCAAAACTCACTAAAAATTGAACTTATTTCAAAATATGGTCTATAAAATTGGACCTATTTTAAATTTTCCCTAAAAACAAAAGGCAACAGTTGAAGATTCCTCAGCTTTGTTTAATCAGGAAGCACTAACTTCCCAAGTCAAACTAAAAGGTTTTTATATTTTTTTATATTATTCATAGTTTCATCTTTTCCTGTCAAATCACTCGTTATGTCCTATGGTCTCACCAGTACCACCATAGAATTAACTGGTATTAAAAACTTAATTTTGGGTATTAATTGGTTGCTTAATTGTGGGTTTAGTGGACATTTTCATCCTTATTATATGGTTTATTAATGTATATTTAATTGGAGTAGGATTCTCTCCTCTTTTTTTTTCCCTTTCCTTCCCTCCCCTCTTAATTGAACGATCACGGTTAAGTCACGTCAACATCTTATATTAATTTTTTATATCAAAAGAAAGACAAAATAAGAGAATGTGAGAGGAGGAAATGAAAAATGATGGAAAAATGAGGGGAGAGAATCCTAGTCCTATTTAATTTCCCTTTGCTTCCATATATCTTTTGTAATATATATGATGTAATCATGTATGGTGACTGATTTGTAGTCTACTGTTTGTCTTGGTTGAATTAAGGGATTAATCTTTTCCTAATTGGTAATGAGTTAATCTCTTAAAGGGTGATCAAAGAATGATTAGTTTTCCCTTCAAGATTAACACACTGCGAGACTAAAAGTAGCAGATTACTTGTAGATCAATATACAAAGAAAGATGGAAAGCATAGTTTAAAAGGAAAATTAACAAAAAAATCTTCAAAAACTTTAGTTTTAATGAAAATGAATAAATAAAGGTGTAAGTGAATAGTACCTGGAGTGACTTTTCAATGTAAAAATGTCATTTTCGTTAAAAAGTAAATAATACCGGAAGTATTTCATTAAGATTCTCTAGTTTAAAATGGAAAGCATAGTTTAACACTAAAAGGTGAAGTTGTATTAAGTACTAATGATTATCTTGCATAGTTACATAACTATCACATCGTGCATGGCTCTTGGCGAATTCATAATTCGTTTTCATATTATTAAGAAGAAAAAAAAACTGTTTTTGAAGAAAAAAAATCCCGAATCCCGAGAACGACCGTTATCATTAAAGGAGGCTTAGGCCATCTCCAACCAAGGGCTGGCCAGAGGGTTCGTTTTAGCCATATGATCCTCCAAGATTCTCCAAGATATTAATATTTTAATGAACAGTACAGGGCTATATTTGCCTCTGTCTCCAACCGAGGGCCAGAGGGCTCGTTTTAGCCCTGCCACAAAAAACTGTCTCGAATCGAGAGCCAAATGGCCAAACATAATTTATTATTTAAATTTAAAAACTACAATAACTTAAATTTAAAATCAACAATTTAAATTTAAAAACTACAACTTATATTTAAAAATTACAACTAAAATTTAAAAACGACAAATTAAATTTAAAAACTACAAATTAAATTCGAAAACGAGGCCCAAAAAAACCCTAAAAAAGGCCCATAAAAAAAGCCCCAAAAAACCCTAAAAAAAAAAAAAAAAAAAATTTGAATCCAACGGTAACTGGCGCCAGCTAGCCGTTGGATTCAAAATTCTTTTTAAAAATTCTTGTCGGTTATAACCGACAGGAAAATTGAATTATCTGTAGCCAGCCAACCCTCCAGCCCTCTAGCCCTCTCAGATTCCACAGCCCGCTAGCCTAGCCCTCGGTTGGAGACGGTTTTCGGGCTATTTTCGGCCCTCTGGCTCTCTGGACCATTCGGTTGGAGATGGCCTTAGGGGAGAACCAAAGGTGCTAAGGCCCCATGACACACCCCGACCGAGATCAGGGCATGCTGGCCGTCACGTGGGAGTGACGTAACCATGTGCACAGTGCGAAAGTTAATAAAATAATAATAAAAGTACGAATAAATAAAAACCAGCTTTACACAAAGTAATAACATACATGTGCAAGCGTAAGTGTGAAAAATAAAGTTCAGAGCACGAAGACCTAATGCAGTCCGAGAGAAACAATACTACAAAAACACATCCGAAGGTAATCCTACACTGGTGACAATCTGTCAGATATGCCGGGAAAATCCTCTGGGGAGCCACCAAGAATACTAGCCAACTAGAACCTGGAGGGGCGCAAAACAAACGTGTGAGTGGACAAAAACAAAGCTTTTTAAAAACCATTTCATAAACAAGATTCTAACCCCTCGCCGTAAAACCTGTATACTTCCCAGAAAACATAATATACATATATATATAAGTCATGCTCAGAAATATGTCATGCCAAATGCCTCGAATAAATGCAAGTGCTCAGGCAAATGTCAAAATCAATGTCATGAAAGCTGTCAGCCGAAGTCACCTAACGTGACATGTACGGCTGAATCTAGAGCTCAAATCTCCATCTCACTAATTGTACCTGCACACGAGTCGGAACCACCTAAAGTGGTCTGTACGACAGGACTGGGTGTAATATAAGTACGCTCAAGTGCTACAATCATGTGAAGGCTGGGCGACGAATCGCGTGTCACTTACGAGTCGGAACCACCTAAAGTGGTCTGTACGACAGGATTGTGCACCTAACTTAGATCCAAGATGAGCGTGTGGTGCGGGAGGTGAACATCACGTGAAGGACTGTGCCCAACTCCGGGCGGGAGCACTAACACCGGGGGTGCAGGTTATGAACTCTCAATGCATCTCTAATCACTACTGAACGTAAACATAATTCATAACTCACCTGGCACTTACCTGAGCATCTGCAGCACCAAATAGATAAATACATATGCAACTAATAATGTATAAATAAATGGCAAACAATAAACATGGCATAAAAACGTATAAATGTTTCAATTCATTTTCTGGGAAAAATATAAGTATATAGGTATATACGGAAAACCAAAAGCCCACTCACTGGTATGTAGAAGGGTCGTAACCCCCTTGCCTCGAGTGACCACGCTCGTCCTCGGGATAGGTCTCACTTATATGCAAAACAACTACAAAAACATTAATTTTAAAGCACATAAACAACCTTTTGAAATAACTTCTCATACAATGCTCAAATGGGGTGTATGAATACACCAACGTGATTTACTCAACCTCAGGAACATCCCCATAATTTTAGAAAAAATTTTCACCGCCGCACTCGCCCCCACGCACCGGCCAAGGCACGGCCACACGCGCCGGCCACGCGCAGGCACGTGCCTGGCACGCTGACGGCGTCAGTTAACGCCGTCAGGAATATTCCGTTAACTTTAACGGATTTCGTTGGCGCCGTTAGGAATATTCCGTCCAAACTGACAGAATATTCCGTCGTCTTCTCCGGCGAAGCTTCGGCCTTGTCGCCGGCGCCAGAAAATCGTGAAAATTTTAAAACTTCATATCTTCTTCGTTTTTCAACCAAATTTCACAAAATTGGTACCAAAATGAAGCTTACAACGAGAGGAACAAATCCATACCACTTTCAAGCACTAAAATCCACGGAATCTCACCGGGAAAACACCACCAACTCCGGCCAACCTTGAAACTCACGATCCCGACGTCCAAAACCTTCAAACGAACCACCCCGAGCCTTCTAAGGACCTCACCAAGCTTTCTACAAGCTTGAAATTCCCAAAAACACAAGAATTAACGTGTGCATGAACAGACAAAATCGGGGTATCCTGAGTTCGACGTGAAAACGAAATTATCCTTACCTGAAATGGGTATGGTTGAACTCCTACGGACCTCACGAGCATGAATATGTACTTGGTTCCCTCGATCTGTGAAGATTTGGAGGGTTTTTGGTTGTGTCCGTACGTATTGGATAGAAATGAGAGAGAGGGAGGACTCGGGACAGGGGTGCAGAGCAGGGAAAGGGTGAGGGAGGTTTAGGGGAGTGTGTGTGGTCCAAAACCTTCCAACAAAAATCCCAAAAATAACCACACAACGAAATAACCACACTAAGGGCAAAAACGTCATTTCACTTCTACGGTTCGAAAATCCGGAACGGGCTGTCACACCCCAAATTTGAAAGGCCTCTAAAAAGTTTGCAATCTAATGTTTATATATATGTCATAAAGACATGTCATTCGTGTTGTGTTTCTTGTGTTCGTATTGTTTTCGTGTCATATCTGATAGCTTATTGTGTCTATGTAGCAATTGGACAGAAACGCTCAACTGTGGCACAATTGGTTCAAATTCTTTCAGAAGTGAATACTTTAGAATATTCCATTCTTGTAGCTTGAAGCCCTCTATTCTGTATCGGTAGTTTAGTCCTAGGCCGGGTTTACTTGAGCGAACTGAGTTGGTATTCGTCTACGATAGGCTTACTCGTACGCCTTTACAGGTCGTATCGTGTAACACTAG